GTGGAGACTTCAAATCTAGATTGAGCAAGTGGAGACTTTTTGTAGGCTCTTAACATGCATTTGTTGTGCTAGAGAGTATTTTAGCCGATCTTTTTCCAATAGAAAAAACGATAGTCCCATATAAGTGTTGACACTTTTTTTTAAAGCAACCTGTATATTGGTTGCAGTTTTATTCCAATCGATAAGCTAAACAATTAAGCCTCCCCCCCCCCCCACCAACTCACGTGTGTGTGTGTAAGAGGCACGCGGGGAAGACGTTTTACATCGGCGTTCAGCAGTGCCAATTCACCACATACCCCACCCACCATCATCCACCCGTCGCCCATCCCTCCGCTATGCCGGGTAATCAAGAGGCTGGTTAGAGCGAAAAGTTTATCCCAGCGGCAGATGGGGAGAGCCTCGGCCCCCGTTAATTCATCGCGAGATGCGGCCTCATTCGCGACGGTGTCCTGGGTGTAAAACATTTAGCGCGGTGTGGCTCCCAAATTACACGCGTGAAAACGGAGCATCAATAACTCACGTATGAATAACAACAACAACAACAACAAACAACAACTGGAAACTAAACATCCTTGTATTGCGTCTCTATCCAGGAGGGACAAGCCGCCACATTTGGGGGTTGTTCTTCATCAAGACTGGTTTCAGCCCCAATTAACGCAGAGTCGCGATTGTTCACTGCGCACGTGGGAGGTGAAACAGGAGACACCCGAGGAAAACCCACGCCGTGGTGCGAGCGACGGGGCAACGCTCTATCCCCGTAAAGATTCGTCCACCTTGCTGGTGTACCGCCTTCTCCTGGCCAGCCAGCAGTGCGGCTGGGACATCCTCGACGCGCCATCCACAAGGGAGTTTCGCTCAGAATGAAGAAGTTTTCTTCGGGGGTGAAATCGCGTCAAAATAAATGTGTCGTTGACCCACCACCACCACCACCACCCGACACAGCCAATGAAGTAATGTTTGTCACGTAAACACAAAACGTGAAAATAATGTGACTACTTCAGCACTCACTGGTGTGTTGGAGAGCAAACCCACACCATTGTCAATTTGAGTACGGCGTCTCGCCGATGATCAGCACAGCCATCTGCGTCGGGCGAAGATGCCAGGATCGTGAAGAAGACAGATCGCCCGACGAAGCTGGCTACGGTGATCCACTAACCCTCGCTGCTCCTGCTGCCTCCACAGCACTGGATTACAGCCAGCCACGTGCAGCAGCAGCAGCAGTATTAGCATAGCAGTGCCACGTTAAGACAACAACAACAACAACCACGACAAGCAAAAAATATACCGTGAAATTGAGCATTACATTTGGACCAAATGGGAATTAGGGCGATCGTTACGGGCACCGTTAACGACTGTGCAAGCAGACCATTAAGGTTGTGCAACGTCTGAAGCTCAGCAAGAAATTCACGGCGCGAAGGTTGGCAAATCAGGAACCCCCCGCAAGGCGCCGAGAAAGCCCGGGGCAGATCGAGTGACTCTGAAGCCAGATTCATGAACTCGCCGTGTGCCTCTGCTGCTGTTTCCTCCATTATACAATCTGCTGCTGCTGCTGTTATACAATCTGCTATTGTTGTCATTATACAATCTGTTGTCATTATACAATCTGTTGTTGTCATTATACAATCTGTTGTTGTTGCCATTATACAATCTGCTGTTGTCATTATACAATCTGTTGTTGTCATTATACAATCTGTTGTTGTCATTATACAATCTGTTGTTGTCATTATACAATTTGCTGTTGTTGTCATTATACAATCTCTTGTTGTTGTCATTATACAATCTGTTGTTGTCATTATACAATCTGTTATTGGCATTATACAATCTGTTGTCATTATACAATCTGTTGTTGTCATTATACAATCTGTTGTTGTCATTATACAATCTGTTGTTGTCATTATACAATCTGTTGTCATTATACAATCTGTTGTCATTATACAATTTGCTGTTGTTGTCATTATACAATCTCTTGTTGTTGTCATTATACAAACTGTTGTTGTCATTATACAATCTGTTATTGTCATTATACAATCTGTTGTCATTATACAATCTGTTGTTGTCATTATACAATCTGCTGTTGTCATAATACAATTTGTTGTTGTTGTCATTATACAATCTGTTGTCATTATACAATCTGTTGTCATTATACAATCTGTTGTTGTCATTATACAATCTCTTGTTGTTGCCATTATACAATCTGTTGTTGTCATTATACAATCTCTTTTCATTATACAATCTGTTGTTGTCATTATACAATCTGTTGTCATTATACAATCTGTTGTTGTCATTATACAATCTGTTGTCATTATACAATCTGTTGTCATTATACAATCTGTTGTTGTCATTATACAATCTCTTGTTGTTGCCATTATACAATCTGTTGTTGTCATTATACAATCTCTTTTCATTATACAATCTGTTGTTGTCATTATACAATCTGTTGTCATTATACAATCTGTTATTGTCATTATACAATCTGTTGTTGTCATTATACAATCTGCTGTTGTCATTATACAATCTGTTGTCATTATACAATCTGTTGTTGTAATTATACAATCTGTTGTCATTATACAATCTGTTGTCATTATACAATCTGTTGTTGTCATTATACAATCTGTTGTTGTCATTATACAATCTGTTGTTGTCATTATACAATCTGCTGTTGTCATTATACAATCTGTTGTTGTTGTCATTATACAATCTGTTGTTGTCATTATACAATCTGCTGTTGTCATTATACAATCTGCTGTTGTCATTATACAATCTGTTGTTGTCATTATACAATCTGCTGTTGTCATTATGCAATCTGTTGTTGTTGTCATTAAACAATCTGTTGTCATCATACAATCTGCTATTGTCATTATACAATCTGCTGTTGTCATTATACAATCTGTTGTTGTCATCATACAATCTGTTGTTGTCATTATACAATTTGTTGTTGTCATTATGCAATCTGCTGTTGTCATTAAACAATCTGTTGTCATTATACAATCTGTTGTTGTCATTATACAATCTGTTGTTGTCATCATACAATCTGTTGTTGTCATTATACAATTTGTTGTTGTCATTATGCAATCTGCTGTTGTCATTAAACAATCTGTTGTCATTATACAATCTGTTGTTGTCATTAAACAATCTGCAGTTGTCATTATACAATCTGCTGTTATCATTCTACAATCTGTTGTTGTTGCCATTATACAATCTGATGTTGTCATTCTACAATCTGTTGTCATTATACAATCTGTTGTCATTATACAATCTGTTGTCATACAATCTGTTGTTGTTGTCATTATACAATCTGTTGTTGTCATTATACAATCTGCTTTTGTCATTATACAATCTGCTGTTGTCATTATACAATCTGTTGTTGTCATTATACAATCTGCTGTTGTCATTATACAATCTGTTGTTGTTGTCATTAAACAATCTGTTGTCATCATACAATCTGCTATTGTCATACAATCTGCTGTTGTCATTATACAATCTGTTGTTGTCATCATACAATATGTTGTTGTCATTATACAATTTGTTGTTGTCATTATGCAATCTGCTGTTGTCATTAAACAATCTGTTGTCATTATACAATCTGTTGTTGTCATTATACAATCTGCAGTTGTCATTATACAATCTGCTGTTATCATTCTACAATCTGTTGTTGTTGCCATTATACAATCTGATGTTGTCATTCTACAATCTGTTGTCATTATACAATCTGCTATTGTCAATATACAATCTACTGTTGTCATTAAACAATCTGTTGTCATTATACAATCTGTTGTTGTCATTATACAATCTGTTGTTATTATACAATCTCTTGTTGTCATTATACAATCTGCTGTTGTCATTATACAATCTGCTGTTATCATTCTACAATCTGTTGTTGTTGCCATTATACAATATGATGTTGTCATTATACAATCTGTTGTCATTATACAATCTGTTGCCATTATACAATCTGTTGTTGTCATTATACAATCTGTTGTGATTATACAATCTGCTGTTGTCATTATACAATCTGCTGTTGTCATTATACAATCTGTTGTTATTATACAATCTCTTGTTGTCATTATACAATCTGTTGTCATTATACAATCTGCTGTTGTCATTATACAATCTGTTGTCATTATACAATCTGTTGTTGTCATCATAGAATCTGCTGTTGTCATTATACAATCTGTTGTTGTCATTATACAATCTGTTGTTGTCATTATACAATCTGTTGTTGTTATTATACAATCTCTTGTTGTTGTCATTATACAATCTGTTGTCATTATACAATCTGCTGTTGCCATTATACAATCTGTTGTCATTATACAATCTGTTGTTGTCATTATACAATCTGCTGTTGTCATTATACAATCTGTTGTCATTATACAATCTGTTGTCATTATACAATCTGCTGTTGTTGTCATTATAAAATCTGTTGTTGTCATCATACAATCTGTTGTTGTCATTATACAATCTGTTGTTGTCATTATACAATCTGCTGCTGCTATTATACCATCTGCTGATGTAATTATAGAATCCAGGATAACCTGAAAAAATCATTACAGATGGTCTTGTCACAATATTTACATATTTTATTAAAAATGCTATCAGCCCAATTCATGAGCTGCGTTTATTATTCACGTCGTGAGGAAACCGAAGCACCCGGAGAAATCTCAACCCTCGTGCAAGGGGGCAACGCTCTATCCCCCAACGCTCCCTGCTGCCTCCACAGTGATGGATTACAGGCTGCCACGTGCAGCAGCGTAGCCACCACCGCCACCACCCGGCTGGCTAACCGTGGTGACGCTGCTGTTGCTGATGCTATTCGGGGCACTTGCTGTAGGCAAGTCCTGGCTTAACGCGTGCTGTTCACACTATAACGTGTTTTTCGGTTCTTACATACAGGAACACTATGTTTCACAACGCGGAACGCGTCCGCTAGATATCACACAAGCACAGAGATACCACGCACACATACACAGATACCACAAACACACATACCACACACACACACACACAGAGATACCATACACACATACTACACACATACAGATACCACACACATACATACTACACATAAATCACACACACAGAGTGCACACCCACAGCTACCACACACACACAACTACCACACACCCACAGCTACCACACACACACAGCTACCACACAAACACAGATGCCACACAGATTACTAACACACACACAAACCACACACACAGATACCACACACACACAAACCACACACACAGATACCACACACACACAGACCACACACATACAGACCACACACACACGAAGACCACACACACACAGATCATACACAGACTACACATACCACACGCACACAGAGTACACACACACAGATCACACACAGACAACACACACATACCACACACACAAAGACTACACACACACCGATCACACACAGACAACACAAACACACACAGATACCACACACACACACAGGTCACACACAGACAACACACACACATACCACACACACACAGACTACACACACACCGATCACACACAGACAAGACACACACACACACGTACCACACACACACAGGCAACACATACACACACAAAGACAACACACACACATACTACACACACACCGATCACACACAGACAAGACACACACACACGTACCACACACACACACAGACAACACACACACACAAAGACAACACACACACAGACTACACACACACACCGATCACACACAGACAACACACACACACACGTACCACACACATAGACAGACAAGACACACACACACACGTACCACACACACACACATAGACAACACACACACAGACCACACACATACACAGACAACACACACACAGACTACACACACAGACAAGACACACACACACAGACTACACACACAGACAACACACAACACACACACCGATCACACAGACAAGACAAACACACACACAAACAAGACACACAGACAAGACACACACACGTACCACACACAACACACACACAGACAACACATGCACACACAAACAAGACACACACACACACAGACAAGACACACACATACACACGTACCACACACAACACACACACACACAGACAACACACACCCAGACTACACAAACACACACACAAGACACACAGACTACACTCACACACACAGACAAGACACACACACACAGACAACACACACACAGACAACACACACACAGACTACACACACGCACAGACAAGACACACACACAGACTACACACACACACCGATCACACACAGACAAGACACACACACACACAAACAAGACACACACACGTACCACACACAACACACACACATACAAGACACACACACACACACGTACCACACACAACACACACACAGACTTCACACAACAGACTACACACACAGACTACACACACACACAACACACATACAGACAAGACACACACACACAGACTAAACACACACACGTACCACACACAACACACACACAGACTACACACACACACAACACACATACAGACAAGACACACACAGACTACACACACACACGTACCACACACAACACACGCACAGACTACACACACATAGACTACACACACACACGTACCACACACAACACACACAGACTACACACACACAGACTACACACACAGACTACACACACACACGTACCACACACAGCACAAACACACACAACACACACACAGACTACACACACACAGACTACACACACACACAGACTACACACACACAGACTACACACACACAACACACACACAGACTACACACACACACGTACCACACACAACACACACACACAGACTGCACACAAACAGACTACACACACACACGTACCACACACAACACACACAGAGACTACACACACACACACACAGACTACACACACACAGACTACACACACACACGTACCACACACAACACACACACACAACACACACACAGACTACACACACACGTACCACACACTACACACACACAGACTACACACACACAGACCACACACACATACTACACACACACACAGACTACACACACACAGACTACACACACACAGACTACACACACACAGACCACACACACACAGACTACACACACCCAGACTACACAAACACACACACAAGACACACAGACTACACTCACACACACAGACAAGACACACACACACAGACAACACACACACAGACTACACACACGCACAGACAAAACACACACACAGACTACACACACACACACACCGATCACACACAGACAAGACACACACACACAAACAAGACACATACACGTACCACACACAACACACACACATACAAGACACACACACACACGTACCACACACAACACACACACAGACTTCACACAACAGACTACACACACAGACTACACACACACACAACACACATACAGACAAGACACACACACAGACTGAACACACACACGTACCACACACAACACACACACAGACTACACACACACACAACACACATACAGACAAGACACACACAGACTACACACACACACGTACCACACACAACACACGCACAGACTACACACACATAGACTACACACACACACGTACCACACACAACACACACACACACACAGACTACACACACACAGACTACACACACAGACTACACACACACACGTACCACACACAACACAAACACACACAACACACACACAGACTACACACACACAGACTACACACACACAGACTACACACACACACAGACTACACACACACAACACACACACAGACTACACACACACGTACCACACACAACACACACACAGACTACACACACACAGACTACACACACACACGTACCACACACAACACACACAGAGACTACACACACACACACAGACTACACACACACAGACTACACACACACACACGTACCACACACAACACACACACACACAACACACACACAGACTACACACACACGTACCACACACTACACACACACAGACTACACACACACAGACCACACACACACACAACACACACACATACTACACACACACAGACTACACACACACACAGACTACACACACACAGACTACACACGCACAGACCACACACACACAGACTACACACACACAGACTACACACACACACGTACCACACACAACACACACACAGACTACACACACAGACAACACACACGTACCACACACAACACACACACAGACTACACACACACAGACTACACACACACACAGACCACACACACACACAGACTACACACACACAGACTACACACACACAGACTACACACACACAGACTACACACACACAGACTTCACACACACAGACTACACACACACACAGACTACACACACACACGTACCACACACAACACACACACAGACTACACACACACAGACTACACACACAGAGACTACACACACACAGACAACACACACACACAGACTACACACACACACGTACCACACACAACACACACACAGACTACACACACACAACACACACAGACTACACACACACACATAGACTACACACACACACAACACACACACAGACTACACACACACAGACTACACACACACAGACTTCACACACACAGACTACACACACACACAGACTACACACACACACGTACCACACACAACACACACACAGACTACACACACACAGACTACACACACAGAGACTACACACACACAGACAACACACACACACAGACTACACACACACACGTACCACACACAACACACACACAGACTACACACACACAACACACACAGACTACACACACACACATAGACTACACACACACACAACACACACACATACTACACACACACACAGACTACACACACACAGAGACTACACACACACAGACTACACACACAGACTACACACACACACAACACACACACAGACTACACACACACATAGACTACACACACACACACAGACTACACACACACAGACTACACACACACTACACACACACAGACTACACACACACACACAACACACACAACACATACACAGACTACACACACACAGACTACACACACACACAACAGACACACAGACTACACACACACAACACACACACAGACTACACACACACAACACACACACACAGACTACACACACAGACTACACACACAGACTATACACACACACAACACACACACAGACTACACACACACAGACTACACACACACATAACACACACACAGACTACACACACACAGACTACACACACACAGACTCACACACAGACTACACACACAAACAACACACACACAGACTACACGCACACAGACTACACACACACACACACAGACTACACACACACGGACTACACACACACACAACACACACACACTGACTACACACACAGAGACTACACACACACACAACACACACAGACTACACACACAGACTACACACACACAACACACACAGACTACACACACACATAGACTACACACACACAACACACACACATACTACACACACACACAGACTACACACACACAGAGACTACACACACACAGACTACACACACAGACTACACACACACACAACACACACACAGACTACACACACACATAGACCACACACACACACAGACTACACACACACATACTACACACACACAGACTACACACACACTACACACACACAGACTACACACACACACAACACACACACAACACATACACAGACTACACACACACAGACTACACACACACACAACACACACACAGACTACACACACACACACAGACTACACACACAGACTACACACACAGACTATACACACACACAACACACACACAGACTACACACACACAGACTACACACACACATAACACACACACAGACTACACACACACAGACTACACACACACAGACTCACACACAGACTACACACAAACAACACACACACAGACTACACACACACAGACTACACACACACAGACTACACACACACGGACTACACACACACACAA